GTCTCTTGCTCCTCTTCTCTGGCTGGAGTGCCAGTCTACTTCTTCTCTCCAATCCCTGTATTGCCATAGCCCGTGCTAACTCATATAGCCCTCTGGAAAGAATTCCAGACCAAGTATCGTACCAGGCAGAGAGAAGGTTCTGATGAGGGTTTGTTGGAAGAGTTAATGAACATTCTAAAACCCTGTGCTCTATGTTATAAATGCCTTAGAGCAACTCAAAGGATTAATCTGGGGAGAAGAGAATTAACAGGACTCAAAGCTTTATTCTAAAATAATGAATCTCTCTTGGTGGAACTTAAGCCCTCATCAAGCTGGACTGGGGGAAAAATTGGGGGGAGTCATGGAGGCTGTGTCACATGGTCTCCCCAGTGCAGAGAGCTCTTATTCCATCTCTGCTGTGTGGTTGGAGACTGGCTAACAGGCCTGGAGCACCTTGCATGTCTGTGGAACTGGGAGGAAAGAGACCAGAACAACCAGCCCACCCATTTGATGTGACTATGAAAGCTTGACCAAGATGGCCCTGCTTTACCCTGTTCTACACCAGACCCATCGCCATAAGTTTGAACTTTTTATAAGTTTGGACCAAAACCAGCAAAGACTGGAAGGAGGGACTAAAACTCCATAGAAGAGTTCACCAACAAGACCAGACATATACACACCTTCCAGTGCCCACCCCCATCACTTGGCCTGACGAAGAGCCCTGGACCCAGTGAAGACTACAGGAGACAGAGAGAAAGCCTGGCCAGAGAATGGACCAGAAGCAGAAGACAGTCTTCGACCAATTCTTTGTGCCCCTGATAGCTCATGTACAGAGTTTTGGCCTCGGAAAAATGCATTTGGATCCTGCTCTTCCTGTTTCCATCTTGGCCAAGAGTGACTTAAATAAGGCTCCACACAGTGTGGTAATGACAGGGCGGGGACAGAACTTGGGTCTGCTGCTTCCTCAACAACAGCTCTTCGTCTGCACCCTGTCGCTTCTTTGTTTTACTGCTGCAGACACAGGAGAAGGTTTTCTGTCTTTGCTTTCCGGGGCACGGTCCCGAGATAAGCCACTTTCAAAAGGCCACCCTCCCAGAGAAGGTCCCTGAATATTGTCAGGGAAGGGATAACTAACTGCCTTGTGATTTGCCTTCTAGAAAGTTTCTTCTGTCAGGTGGGGCAGGGCCAACAATGATCCAGTTTGTGAAACAAAATTGAGCCTTCAGCCTTCAAAGGGATGGTGAGAAAGAAAGTCTGCCTTCTGAAATGGGGAGTAGACAGCTTCTGAAGCAGGGCATCCAAGGACTCAGATTCTGAAGGGATGTTCTCAGGGAGTCCGTGCCCACGGCTCCGCTGGGGTCCCATCACAATCCACCCAGAAGCCTGCAGTCTTGGGTCCATACTCTTCTGCGGGCCCATTCAGGAGCATCAAGCCGGTGCTGAGAAGTGGAGCAGAGCCTTCGGTGTGTCTTTTCATCACTGGCCACTTTTTAAAAATTGAGTTTGAATCCCGTCAGTGATGCCAGCCCTCTCCTGCTCCCCCACACCCCTCGTGTTCACAGCTGCCCTCACCCCTCTTCTCTCCTGCCTGTTCCCATGTTTGTGATCCTGCAGATGTGGCCAAATGTCTAAGTGAGTCTCGCCAAATAAGGTGCTTTTACAAAAAGTTGATTGAAAGGGACAAGAATGGAGGGGAGGAAGGCCCAAAGCTCTGCTCATTTCACGCCCTCAGCCTGAGCAGGCTTGGTTCCTGAGGGGAAAAGTGGATGTGGGGAGACCATCACTCACTCCAGATCCTGGAAACTTCTGGGGGGGAATGTCAGGGCCCTTTCTGGATCTGAGTGATGGGCTCTTCAATGTCAACTCTGCCTCTGGTGTTGGAGGACGCCTGACCAGTCATCCGTTCATTCGTTCTTCTGTTAAACATCTGCTAGACCCGCCTTGTCAGGCCCCATGGGGAATTCAAACTGAAAATTGAGTGATCTTTTCCCTTAAGGACTTTACCATCCACTCAAGTATCTATGCTACGAAGTGGGTGTGTGTCAGCAACTAAGACAGCCAACCTCCGTGCTTGGTTTTAGGGAAACAACAGCTCAGGGAATACACTGGAGTCCACAAGCTTTGCTCTGACTGGAGACTGGGGAGCCAAGGCAGCTTTGGCCAAGTACACTCACAATTGTCGAGTAGGCAAAATGAAAGTATGATGACAATAATAAAGAATTTATTAAGCACCAGAATATATATGCATTGTCTTATTTGGTCTTCACAATAACTTAAATAAGTATGTGCTATTATTATGCCCATTTTACAAATGAGAAAACTGAGGCCAATAGAGAATATGAAGCCTGCCCAAGGTGACACAGCCAGTCCAGCAGCACAGTCCATGCTCTTAGCCATTCTGCTCTACTGATCCCCACATGAGTGTGAAAATGTACCCAAACAAAAATCCAATTCTGGATTTCATTGTGCTGGCCACATGCACTACCAAACTCCAGTACTCTACCAAAATGGGATGGCCTTGGGACAGAAGCTGGAAGAGAGTTCTGCTTGGTTTTCTAATCTTCGCAGGGCAGCATTATCTGAGGTGGTGTGTGAGGGAGTGACACACACACTCCCCACACAGGATCGTGGGGCAGGCTGCCTGGCTGACAGCCAGCAGGGAATTCACAGAACTTGGATTTCCTTCAAAACTGGTACCCCATGAAACAGGCCAGCTTATCTTGTTACATGTATTTTTACTTAAGGGAACTTACCACCCTGGGAACACTGTCCCCTGTGGTGATCCGAGTGCACAGGACAAACCCAAACAATTGGAACAAGAACCACAGGGAAACTGCAACCTGGCTCGGTTTTGAAAGGACTGTTTCAGAGGAAGCCAGAACTGTCATGATGGTAAGAAGGAAGATCACAGAAGCTTTGTTTACAACTTTTAGTGCTTTCTCTTGAACAGCTCTCACTCACACTGCTAGAATTAGGATATAATAGACTATCTTGGACTATCCACTGTCCCGGACCCGAACACTCCATTCCAATCACATTCCCAAATGTGCCAGGTGTTTTCCAAAGTGGCACCACTCCTGGTGAGCTGTGAGCAGTGGTAGAGCAAAGAAGGCTAGGACGTCAAGGGCAGGGTCTCAAGGCACATTTTAATCTGCATTCCTGATCTGCCATAGCTGAGCTCTCTAGGATCCGTCAGAACCTCTTACAAGTCCCAGGGACAGGCACCTCGGGCTAATACGGCTAATACATGTGACTGGCCAAATACTAAGCCCATCCCTCACTGCCCTCAGCATGGAAGCGTGGTGATTGATACAGAAGAATTGCTGGGTACAAGCTTGTTGAGTGGATGAACAAATAAACACATGCATATTTGAGTGTAGGTATGCATGAATAAATAAATGAATAATAAATGAATGAAGAGGACAGATGCCTTCCAATCAGAGCCATCGAATATATTTAATATCTAGTTTCATCAGATCCACAAGATCATTTCTGGCAATTACAAAGAAACCACCGATGGTTCTCTAGTTTTTGTGTCAGCAAGGTCCCTGTCACCTATCAGCACAAAGCAATTATTCTTACTTTATCTGTTATATTTCCGGGGAACTTATCTGTACTTGGAAAATGGGATTGTGTTCCAGAAGTTTTCAAGCCATGACACATAGGCAGCCGCCTGTTCTGCTCACTCATGAGAGGGAGCATGATCAATGGCTGGGGGGTGGGGGGAGGGACATGCAGAGAACCTGATGGAGCTAAGGACTGGTTTTGGAAGGACTTGTGAGAGACCCCCACCCCGCATAAGGCCGGGTGGACAACAGCATCGTCATCATCCAGCAGAAAGTGGCAAACTTTGGGCACTGGTGGGATTTGGGGCAGGGATGGGAGAAAGTAGTACTGGAGGTGGGACAAAGGAAGAAATGATCACACTGTCTAAAGCCAATGCTTAGTTAGGAAGGTGCTGTGAAGATAAAAGGGGCTGACCCCCAGAGGCATCAGCAGCCCAGCTAGAAAGAAAGAGTGACAATGCCCATGGCCGCAGGGAGGGTCTGTGGACCAGAGAGGAGGGGTCACCTTCTTTGAAGAATTAGAACAGAGCATATAAGACAGGAAAAAGACCCCTACAGGGAATTTGAGGTCAGTTTTCCTGTCACCACCCTGTAAGGAGTGCTTCCATATGCCAGGACCCACTGTGGGCACTGAGGATAAATCCAAGCAAAACCCGCCCTGACCATGTAGAGCTTACAGTCGAGTGGGCAGTAAGAAGATTCCTGGGTAAGTGGTGAGAACCTGGGGATGTGGTCCCAGCTTCCCACCGGGTGCCCTGGACCAAGTGCCGTGCCCACCTGGGCTTTGCAGGTACGTGGGGCTTGAGTGAATGAGTGCCCCGTGCAAACTCCCAGGGCTCTGAACATTTCTTCAAACAAGAAATGTTGTTTGAAGTGCATCAAATCATTGTGTTTCTCTCTGTCTTCTTTTTATTTTAAATTTAAGTAAAATAAAGTGTATTCTCTTTTAAGTAGCATAAATAATACAATCTTGCATTTCTAAAAGTCTAGATGCCTCTATATCCATCCATTTATGCTTGCTTCTAACTATAAATTCATAGACATCTACCAGGAGCTGCGCTCCCCAATTTCCTTCAGCTGAAATATTCTGAATCATTTGAATTTTAATGGTGAGCATATGTTATTTCCACAAATATAGCAAAGTCTTTATTATTTGCAGTAAAATGGAAGCAACTAGGGCACCTGCGTGGCCCAGTCAGTTAAGCGTCCGACTCTTGATTTCGGCTCAGGTCATGATCTCAGGGTCCTGGGTTCGAGCCCCGCATGGGGCTGCGTGCTGGGCACGGAACCTGCTTAAGATTCGCCCTCTCCTTCTGCCCCTCCCCTCCTTCTCTAAAACAAGAGGCATAAATTGTCAGGAACCTAGGTCAGTCAAAGCACGGCCTGGCTCAGGAGCTGTGGGAGCTGGGGTCTTGGGTGTTCTTGCCGTTAGTTCACTTGTTCTCTTCTCTTCAGGTACCAGACGTGCTCCAACAACGGGCTGGTGGCAGGGTTCCAGAGCCGCTACTTTGAGTCCGTGCTGGATCGGGAATGGCAGTTTTACTGCTGCCGGTACGGCAAGAGATGTCCGTATTCCTGCTGGTGAGCCTGGCAGCCAAACACAACACCTCAAGACTCCTGGGGCTGGAGGGGAGCTTGGGGGGGGAGGGGGCGCTCTGGTCCCCGTTTCTGACTTCAGATGAGCCTGGGCTGTCACGAACAAGTTTGGAATGCAGCAGGCAGCACGTAGAAGGAAACGAATGTACAAAATTCATGAAAAGGCTAGAATAATATTCTCGCTGGGAGGGACCTCACAGCTCATCAAGCCAATGCATCTACACCCCTCTTTTGGCAGGAAGAAACAAACAAAACTATAGAACAAGGAAGTCCCTTGTCCAAAGTTATGCAGCTATTTCGTGGGAGTATCACCCCTAGAGCTGAGATCTACTGACTCTTGTTGCAGGACTCTTTCCCTCTATCACAATAACTTCTCATCACATCCAAGGCTGCTGGACCTGTTTGGGAACCTATTTGTTCCTTGTCACCGGTCAGAGTAGCAAACATAGTCTATAATTATAGACCAAAGAAAGAGGCTAGTGTTTTCTAGATCAATTTGTAATTCCAGTTTGTATAATTTTGCTCTTTCCTGCTCCCTGGGCTGATGCCAAATATCCCCTGACCTAGCTTTCAAATTGACTAGGAGAATGTGTATATATTTATTTACCCGGATAACTTCCAATGGGTGTTGACAACACAACTTGTCCCAAGTTCTTCAGTCTAAAAACAAGCCCAGCATTTCTGCCTTGGACAAAGGGATCCAAAGTGTCAACTTTTTTGAAGTGTTTGAAGTGTGGCTCACTCAAGGGATTTATCTCTCTGCAGTGTGGTGCTAGAAAGGACAGCCTTGTGGGTTATGCCTTCTTCTGCCACCGGACAGTATTACTCCACAGATGCCCAAGCAGGGCACCATGGGTCTCGGCACAGGCAACTCCAAAAGCTAAGAGTTCTCTGTTTAAAGTAATGATAAATTGTAAACCCAGAGCTCAAAGCCAGTAGCTGTAGGATGGAGCAGGGGCTTGTTCCAGCTCTCCAAAGCTGCCCCCATAAAGCAGTTCTTACCCCACCACGGCAGGTGAGCAGGCATGGCTAGGGTGTTAGGACAGAACTGTGACAGATCCCGAAGCAAAGACCTAAAGCCTGCACATGCTGGGGTCATGTGGAGGAAGCACTGATGGGACAAGAAACTTGAGTTCCTGTCTCTCCCCTCCCCACCTTCCCCTCCCTCCCCTCTTCCCCCTCCTCCGAGCCCTCTTAACAGTGCTGTCTCTGGAATGCCACTTTCCTTCTCTTTGGGCCTCAAGTCCATCACTTAAAATGATGGCCAACTTTGCTGGGTCTCTGAGATTTTTGAGAATCTGATGAAAGCTATAAATCTTGTCTTCAGGAAAAAGAAAATACACTTCAGCATATTTAGACAAAAGTTTACACAGAATTTCCAGGAGCCCTCAAACTCCCTGAAGGCCACCAAAAGATCTTTGAGGTTGTTTTAAGCCCTAAAAATTCCTTGACGCCAAAGGTGCTTTTGCAAAAGGCAATCCAGATGCCCAGAACTGATTTCCAAGACAGGGTGAAGGTCCTAAAGACGACTGGGACCCACTGAGTGGGGAGAGAAGGTAGGAGCCTGCCTTGCCACTGTGACCTGAGAAGCAGGGCTTTCCCCAATTTTCCTGTCCCAAGTCTGCTAACAGAAAGCCTCCCCAATGGTGAAATCTGCCTCCCTTGTTGAGAGGCATTAAAAGCCAGTTAAAATGTAAATAAATTATCAGAAAGAGTAGGCAACAAACTAATAGTCCGTTAATCCATTACCACATTAGCAAGATTTCCCCTTAGGCTCCAAAGGAAAACCTCAGGGCCCTGTGGGGAGGATGCACAGCCTAAGGGCAGTGGGAGGACCAGGTGTCTGGGGGCCCTAGTTTCTGCCCCTCATGGAGGTCTGTTACAGCTCTTAGTGTACTACACTGGGTCTAGACTGGGAGCCTCTGGAGCATACAGGGAACTCATTGATCTTTGCATCCCCAGTGCCCAGTGTAATGCTTGGAACGTAGTGTCTGCTTGACAATTATTGAGTAAATATTGGAATAAATGATTCTGAAGGGCATGCAGAATAAGGTGAAGAGGCCCAGAAAATATAATTTACTTACTTACTCTAAAAGTTTGTTGTTGTTGTTTTTTAACTCTGTTTTTAAATCCCACTCTCCCATCCTTGCCCTAGAATGTAAACTCTATACAAGCAAAGATCTCTGTATTGATATATTCCAAGCCCTTAACTAGTGCCAAGCACTTATTAGGCACTCAATAACATGTGTTGAGTGAATGAATAACTTTGGCCTACTTCCTAATTCTGCGAGGATAAAATGAGATAGTATATGTCCGGTACTGCTACTGGCTATGATCACACAGAGCTGACCTGTCCCCTGCAGCCCTCCCAGCTCCAGGGTAGACGCAGCCTCCTCCCTAAAAGACAGGCCTTCCAAAGGCTGACTCTACCCAAGGTCATCACAGTCAGGGGTGGGATCGCCCTGCAGGAAGCAGAACCAGTGGCTGGAGCGGGGTGTGCAGAGAAACAAGAGATGGTCCACTTGGACAGTCTACTAGGGGGCCACTGACTCATTGCCCCACAGGCAGAAGAGGAGGGAGCCCATTCCATCACTGTGAGGACCAGCTTCTCTGCCAAGACAGGTGGGAGAGTCTGCCCCTTTACTGGTCACACAGTCACTGGCTGGTCACCTGGCTTCTGGCCAAACAGAGTAACAACAGGGAGTGGACTTAGGGCCCAAGGCTTTTGGTGACAAGGCAGGCAAGAAACGGAGTCTCACTCATTTTGGAGAAATTGCCTAACAGCAGAGGTGGGGATGAATGGAGGTAAGGGTGGGATGAAGGGGAAATAGCTCATCTTCCCAGAGTCCCCAGACTCTGTGGAGTCTGTGATCTGCATCACTATCCTGAGCATTGTTGCTTGAAGTTTACCCTGTTTCTTTGAATGCTGAGACCCAAAAGACATCCAGATCTTTATGTCTCAAAATTCCACTGATTTTCTAATGATGCTCCAGATGGCCATTGGTCACTTGGGGGGGTGGGGGCTGGTTCCAGGCTCCTCCTGCTCCCCACAAGCACTGGATGTCCTTCTGCTCATGTACTTTAGAACTTGGACTTTTCAAGCTCTCTTAGATGCAGCCCACCAATTGCTAAGATGTTAAGAATTTAATGAACATGGAAATATATACGTAGGAACAAAGTCCTGAGGTTAAAGATGAGCAACTTTTCCTCAGTTACCCGAGACATTCAGAGCCCAGTGGCAAAACTTACCCAGAGCCTTGGTCTGCAATGGCCTCCCTCGCCCTCCCCCCCACTCCACCACCGAGACATGTCATTAATGGTCAGCAGAACCCATGGGGGAAAAGAGGAGAGAATTACTCAGAAAGACACAACAAGTCAACTTGGAAGCAAGTGCCCTCTGAGGAAGGCTTTGCTTAGCTGCATCTATTTCTGACTGCACAGTGTTAGAGCTGAGAGCCACTGTGGTTATCTAAGGAAATGGTATTTTTTCAAAGGGAAACTTGGAGAAGCAGCCGAATGAGATTGCAGTATGCACCATGGTATGCAGTGCATGACTCACTATCCCACTGCGGTGTCTAGACGTTTTAGTGGCATCTTTAAATTGCCTGAGTCATGACGTTATATTATGTCTTTCTAAACTACGTGAAGCCTCTAGGGCAAAAATTAAGTCTTATTTCTTCAGCATCTCAGCGTACTGCCTGGCACAAAAGAGACCCTTAATAAATTTTTTGAATGAATGTTGCAGGCCCGTAGAAACAGTAACAGTGGTGAAACCTGACATTGATATGATGATGTTTTAGAGTTGAAAAGGATTCTTCCACAAGCATTATTTTGTTTGATCCTTCTAACAGCCCGTCAGAGGGAGAAGTGTTTTCCCACACCTTCCCACTGTGAAACCTGCTGATAACATTCCTATTTGAAGCCTTCCCTCACGTCACTTAAACTGGCTTGAACTACCTCCCAGGGAACTGGACGCATGTGGGTGGGGACATTTTTCTCTCCCACTTCGAAAGCCATTCTGTAGCACTGAGCCTGACCGTGTTTTGAACTAGCTAAATGAGCATCAATCATCTTTGTGTTTGCAAACATTTAAGGATTCAGAAATGGCACCGCTCTTGCAGGAAAACAATACAAATTATCCAACCAACTCCCAAATGAGCACGAGATTTATTTGTTTGGTGGGGACCAAGGTGCGGCTCTCATTTAGGACTGAGAAGTTTCTCGCTGGATATTACAGCCTCACTGAACTCTGGCCAGAGAGTGAATTTCTGATAGACTCAGATATGCTGTCACTAAGCAGTCCCCACTGGGTTGGACGCATATGTAAATTTTACACATATTTATTTATATATGAGAATTCACATTCTTTTTTTTTTTTTTGTAAGATTTTATTTATTTATTTGACAGAGAGAGAGAGAGAGCACAAGCAAGAGGAGCTGCAGAGGGAGAGGGAGAAGCAGGCTTCCCGCCGAGCAGGGAGCCCGATGCGGGGCTCGATCCCAGGACCCTGGGACCATGACCTGAGCTGAAGGCAGACGCCCCGAGAATTCACATTCTTAGACCAGTCGTCTGCAAACCGCAAACACATGTCACTGAAGAAGCCGCAACCCTTCAGAGCCTGTTTGTAATAACTCCCCAGTTCCCAAGCAGCTGAGCTGCTGCCTGCCCCACACTAGACTGTCCCCCACCAGCGTGCAGGGCTGGCCAGGCGCAGGCTCTGGGTCCTGGGAACCGACGGTTTTGAATTGAGCATCGATTTCCTTTTCCATGGTTCTCCTCCAGACCTGTGGCCTTTCATTAGATTCACTACATATTATGTTTTGATGAAAAAAAAAATGTTACTCCTCAGAATCAACATAGATGACATTTCAGTTTTCTCCCAACCTTGAGATCCGATGACTCTTGCATGTCACTTCCTCCACTGCCTATCTCCCCTCTCTCCCTGAAGCTCAAGTCCTACACCAGAGAGTATTTTTCTTAATTCC